TCCCAGTGCTCCTGAATTTGTCCGCTCCTTTTTTGTCTCGTTAAAATTCGTAAGTGACTATTAAAAACATTTTTGGCATCATCTTTAGAATTTCCCAGCACTGTTTCCACCTTCACACATACGCCCACCCACACACACGCAGGTGCGCGATCGCAAATATAACAGAAAACATAAATGGATTAAATTAATGATAGTCTAGAGTGGGCAGTGAGGAAGAAATCTGAGGAAAGATAGCAAGGACATTTTAAAAATCACACATAACAGAGCTGCTTAAAAGCAGGACTAAAACAAAATTGGTTTTAAAAGTCATTTCTTCAAAGCCGACTCTCCTCACACAGGTCATTTCAAAACCGAAGCACCCTGACTGTGAAACGTAGTTAAAAAGATGTTTTTTCACAGGACTGCACCCCATGATTCATTAGCTTGTAGAACCACTTTTAGCACTAATTGTTTTGTGACTTTATCAGTCTCTCACATCACTGTGATGAAATTCTGGCCCACACCTTTTTACAGGGTTGTGTCAGTTAATTGAGTGTTGTGGGCATTTTATTTATGCACAGCTCTCTTAAGGTCGCCCCACAGCATTTCAGTTGGGTTAGTTTGGAGGTTGCAACACATCCATTCTTTTCTTTTACAGCTGTTCTGTTTGAAATATGCTGCTCTGCTTAGGCTCATGGTCCTACTTATAACCAGTTTTAATGAAAGCTTGAAGTGTTACACAGAGGGCCTCATGTTTGACTTCAAAATACTTTGCAGTTCATGGTTGCTTCAGTGACTGGTTTCCAGGTCCTGTGGCTGCAAACGAGCCCAGATCATCACCGCTCCATCGCTGTGCTTGACAGTTGTTATGAGGTGTTCATGCTGATATTCTGCGTTTGGCTTTTGTAAAAATGCTGTCACATAAAGAACTGTTAATGAGTGTTTAAACACTGGAAATTAACTTAACTGAGGATATGAATCTCACTTGCTCACTGGCTGGACTTTAAACTGCACAGACACCTCCTGTTGTCATCTCAGCAAGCTTTCCACCTGCTCAGGGTGGGCTGTGCACACCACTATTCCACTGGACTTATATTTGTTATTAATTGTTAATGCCCTCATCAGGTGGTGTCACACTGTCCTGAGGTTCTGCCGCCCAGCATTATTGCGCCGTTGCTGACGCCTCAGTGTATCCGTCTCATGAGTGAAGAGGCGTCCACGGAGGAGGACGAGCTGTGGCAGTCTCTGGGAGATGCCTGGAACATTCCCAGGTGTAACAAGACATCTCTTATACTTTGACTTCTTTTTGTTTACAGCTGAGAAAGTGTTCTGTTAAATGTCAGCAGGGCAATCAAACATGTACTCTTACTGTTATCAGTACCCAGTGGCCAGAAGATGATGAGGACATCCCAACCTACACCCCGCAGTTCTTCGATGGCTGGCAGCCCCCTGAAGTCACTGCAGAACCTCCCCCCACTCCACCTCTGACCAGACAGAGGAGTGCACCCAAATCTGTGGCCAGACCAAAGAGCCCACAACCTGCACCCAGTAAACCAGTGACCAGGCAGGAGGATCGGCAACCTGCGCCCAGTCAGGTAAACGAAGCATTCAGGTATCTTCTAGTTACTTAAATAAATAGCACAGAAATTCACATCAATGCCATTTTCTTCTTCCACACAGACGTATGCCAGTTGGAAACCTACACGGTACGCATGAACACACAAAGGAGTCAATGATTCAGTGCAAAGTGAGTGTTTTTGATTTTGACTTTTTCCCAGCTCAGTGGAGCCAAAACTGCGAGAAGTGCATGTGAAGTCTGACTTCATTTCAAGAAACCAAAGAGAGCTCACCGTGAGAAAAGGAGAAACAGTTCAGGTATCAGCAAAGTGACTCATCCGATTTTTCTGTCCCTACTCGCATTTGTTTTGTTAACTGCCTCCATATTTGCTTTATTTGTGCCTACAGCTGCTGGACAAGTCCAAGCAGTGGTGGAAAGTGAGGAATGACAGAGGGGAGGAAGGCTTTGTCCCCAGTAATATCCTGAGCGATAATGATCACCAACCTGATGAAGAGGTTACCACTCAGCAGACACGAACACGTTACAGTTCACATTAAACTCAGTGTTGTAGAGACACACAAACACTGAATTATTCCGAGCGTAGATGATAAGAAATAAAAAGCATGTTTGTGCAGGATTAGACTTTTGCCAAGCCACAGGTGCTAATGGAAGTGATCCCATTCCTGTTTCATTCCACACTCCAGGAAACTGGGAATTTGCTATAAATACAAGAAACATTACTTGTAATGAGTCACTGCTGAGTGTTTTTGCCCTTCTAATCTGATGTTTACTTGTGTAAAACAAAGCAGAAAGCCCAACAAAGACAGGAAGTAAAACTTTCAACTGTGTAAAAGAGACCAGGAATCACAAAATAAAACAGGAACGGACATGAGCAAAAACCAATAATCATATAGTTTAAACTATATAGCAAGCTGTATGTGCATTTTTATTTTCAGACTTAATTAAAGTAATACTACTTTACACTTAAAGTAATAATACATTATCGTTCCATTTTCAAAGGATATTGTGGCCTCACCTGTCCTAACAAAGAGGTCCAAGCCTGCCGAAGTGAAAGCCTGGCTCGAAGACAAGGGCTTCAGTAAAATGTGAGTACAACCAGAATTCTTCACTCCCTAATGTAATGAATTGGCTGTGCAGGTGACCTTGGTGTTAGTTTCTGGCATTTACTATCCAGGGTCTGCATAAAAAGAAACATGAAGGTCAGAAAGATCAGCTGAAATATCAGGGAGGAGGGACAAATGTGGACAAACAGTTAAAGAGTAAAAATGGTCTCAGATGTGGATGATCAACCTGCTGTGACATCTGCAATCATCTCTGTTCTCCTTCATATTAATATTAGTGTTATCAATTATCAAAATTATCGCAATTTTAATACATTTCAGCTTTATTTATTCATTTTTTCAGTCTGTTAAGTATAAATATTAAAAACAACCTTAGCTGAACAACAAAACATGACATATTAATGTATACTTTATTAACCCTGTAGGAAATTGCTTAGTCCTCTGCATTTAACCCATTCTACCAGTAAGCAGTGGGCAGCTACCAATCCAGCACACAGGGAGCAGTGTGTAGAGACGGTACCTTACTCAAGCCCCAAAACTATTCATGGCAGCGGTGGGATTCAAACACACTGGAGCCTTAATCCAGCACCTTAGACCGCTCAGCCACGCTACCGATTGCACTGTGTTATTATGTATTTAATCCAAAAAGCAGAAGCACCGTGCGAAAATCGGAGTTCTCCTTTACCCTCTTAATCTCTATGGAAGCAGTAAGTACTGATCATCAGCAAGTGTGAGCAACTCTATAAAAGCTGAAGTCTTGGCAGTTTGCATTGCCAAGACATAAGAAATGATCTCATTTTCAAATAATTTGAAGTCTTTCACTCTACAGTGAGAAAGATTTTTCGCAAATGAAAAACATTCAAGATTTTCCAATCTTCCCTGGAGTAGACTTTTCAACCCGAGGTCAGACCATGCAATGCAGAGGAACTGCAAAAAATCCAAGACTCACACTTTTCAGACTCTCAGCATGTTAAATGTAAAAGTTCCTGACAGCATAAAGACTGAACAACTATGGCTTGTTTGGAAGGATTGCCAGGAAAAAGCCTCTTCTCTCTAAAAAGAACGTGGCTGCATGGTTTGTGTTTGCCAAGCCTAAGCTACACTAAGAACAAACTACAAGACTTCTGTAACAATGACCTTTTGACAGATGAGATCAAAATGTTTGGCCACATTTGGGAAAGCCAAACACAGCATATCAGCACAAAAAAGAAACACCCCATACCACCCGACAGCACGTTGATGGAGGGGTGATGATTTAGGTTTTGTTGGCAGCCACAGGCCCTGGGTATGATGCAGTCATTGAACTGACACAAAATCCTTTGAGTACCACAGTATTTGTAGAGTCTAATGTGAGGCCATCTACCATGTTTGGCTAAAAGTGAGTGATGCAACAATGATCCCAAGCACAGCGGTAAATTTACAACAGAATCACTGAAAGTGAAAAAATACAGGCGTTGATCCAAAGTCCAGACCTGCAACTGACTGAAATGCTGTGGTGGTACTTTAAGAGAGCTGTGCATGGACAAATGTCTACAACTTAACAGAAGAGTGGGCCAAAAGTTCTCCATAATTACACGAGAAACTGTTAAAGTCATACAGAAAATGATCACTTCATGTTTTTGTTGCTAAAAACGGCTCTGCAAGATAGTGAATCATGGGAGGTACTTAGCTTGGCTATATAAATCTGCAGGTATATAAAGACACAGCTGTGTGTACTGCTGCACACTAAGCAGGTTTTCCAAAGTGTGAGAAACACAGATCCATGTTATTTATCTCCTGCAGCACTGTACGCTGTCTCGGCGTGGTGAGCGGCGCTACGCTTCTGGGCATGACCAGAGAGGAGCTGAAGGTGATGTGTCCCGAGGAAGGAGGCCGAGTCTTCTTCCAGTTAAACGCAGTCAGGTCGCAGCTAGCCGTAAGTGACAAAGCACTGCTTCACTCGCTTCTCCCATCCATGTGGAGTTTCTATAGAAGCATGCTACATGTAGCACAGACAACTCTGCTCTGTCTTTTGTGAACACTTTAGGCTTCCAGTTAAGTGAGACCAGTGACGGGACATCAAAGGGGACAGAAGAGGACCAAAACTGGTCACCGATGATCAGACTCTGAAAACTTTGAGCTTTGAGTTTACAGTGCATACTTACGTCTCGTTTGAAATCTATATATATATATCTCTATCTATATATATATATATATATATACACACACACACACACACACACACACACACATATATATATATATATATATATATACACACACACAGATAGTCGTGTTGTCGTCTTGTGTAATATAAGATCAGTAATCGCTTGAATTCTGTAATAAAAAGTTGGAGTCTAATTTGTCACAGCATAACCTGTAAATAAAAGCGTGACACAACCTGGGTGAATTAACATGCTTTATTTTGTTGTCGAGTCATTACACGTGAACCTCAGAGGCATCTGAATCTGTAAAACTCTGGCAGTCCATCTCAAGCAATAAGGCTACAGATTACAGATTAATGGAAATAAAATCAGGCAGAATTTAAAAAATGATAAAAATGATAATAATAATAATAATAATAATAATAATAATGTCTACACAGTTACATGGCTGTAAAAACAAAGAAGAAAACCTCAGCTGAAAACAAACACACACTGAGTATCAGAATACTTAGAGCACTATGAGGTTGGTAATGTAAATGATGCCGAACATGTTAACTGTTAACGCCATGTTTGAATATATGCTGTGTTTCTGTGTTGGCTCCCACTCAGTGTTACTCGACTTCACGTATTTTATCTCTGACCCTCATGTGCTACTATTTACTGAGCTCAATCTCCTTTATATATTGAAATATTGGTATTAATACAACAATACCAGAAACGTGAGCTTCTGAAGTAAAAGGAGTTGTTGCTTTTTCTTTTTTCCTGACGATTGACTTCAATATATTAATTATATGAGTAATATATTAATTTGAACTATGCAAACTATGATGGGACTTTTATGTAGTTTTCAGTATGTCAGCAGTTGATTGCTGTGAGTTGCAGTCTTGAATACTGCTGCTGGGCTCCAAAAAGACATGATTTGTGAGGTAGGGTGGACTATATGTTGGACATAATTAGCATAATAAACAGTAAACAACAAGATGTAAAAGTGAACAGATAGAAACCGAACAGGTGGAAAAGTTTTGGGTCGGTTCAGATGACAAATGCCATAGCAGCATGAGCAACTGTAATCAAAAAACTCCCATAATCACAGTGCAAAATGTTACAGAGTCAAAACTGAATATTAAACGAGTGAGTAAAAGGCTAACGTCAGTGTAGATGTAAAATCCATCAGTGTTTTGGTTCAAATGAAAAAGTGCAAGGGCCAAAGTGTTCACAGACACTGCTGGAGGTGACGTTTGGCTTTAGAGTAAAAAGTACCAACTTTGACACTTTATCTGTTACATTTGCATTGAAATACTGAGAGTTCACAGGAATAAAAACAGGTGAAGAATAACGACTAATGCAGTAATAAAGAGGCAGAGCAGACACTCTGTGTCCACTTAGATTCAAAAAGCAATAAACAGACAAATTGAAGTGTCAAACCTTCACATCAATTAGATAAAATTACCCATCTTTGTATTGCCTTTGAAAAATACACTCTTTACAGAAACTCCCACAGTGACATTTCCACGGAGCTCCACTTGTGTAGCTACGATTTATAGCTGAAAAATGACAGATTCTCAGTTTTTATCCTAAACACCTCTAAAGCAAACACTTTCCTACCCAAATACTTTACAGCTGGTTATTCAAATAAAGCCCGATACTTTCTGACTCGTTCTCTTCTAGTCTTGGCATAAAGTCTTACTCGACTGGGGTTTAACAAGTATGCTAGCAGTTTGATGGGAGGTCCAGTGGCAGGCAGTGTGATGTTATAATACAAAAATCCCGAGGTGGGTGATACCAGCTTTGACCAGGTTTGGGGCAAGTAAAAAAAAAAAAAAAATGCTACAAGTACCATGCAAATGTCTTAACCATGTCCCAGCATGGTTTGTGAATTTGTACATGGTGAACAGAACCGAGTACAAACCTGCTTGCTACATTACAAAACAGATTCTGGATTGAAAGCTGGTCAGCAGCCCTGAATTAGTTTAGATGTTTTACATTAAAGCTTGCTGTAAACATCAGTCTCATTCTCTCCTGCCATCCATTAATCATGCAGACATGCAAAAAAAAAAAAAAAATCATTTACATACTCACAGAACCGGTAATAGATCCTCCTAAAGGCCAAAGTAAAAGCTACTTTACACTGATCATGCAGCTAGGTGCTTTCAGCTAATCGGTGTGAAGCGCGTATATGCTCAGTGTTTATCGACTGAGGGAAAATAAGCAGGCAAGAAAGAGAGCATGCACTGCTCAAAGCTAAAAATGAAAAGGCACTGTGAAACCTTGGCTGGGTGCATATGTACAGTGCATTGCATGCAAAGGGGAAAAACCTCTGTGACTGTCTAGTAAAAGGAATGAGAATGATTGGGGCCCGTAAGACATACAGAGGGGGGTTTGTGGTCACAGTGAGGTCAAAGTGAGAACTCATCCACATTTTTTGTGCTGTGATTAAAATCTACAGTGTCTCTCTTTCAGCACACAAACATCTCATCATTTTTGACGAGGTCGCTTCGTACGCTGCTTAAAGAGTCCCATTCGCTTCAAGGAATGTTTGCATCAGCCTGCTTCTCTCCTCTCGACTGTGGAGTTTTTTTCTTTCTGTGCTGACTGAATCATGGAAGAACGATTCTAGAAAGTGCAATTTAGCAAGTATATGATTAAAAACCACGCCAAGCAAGACACACACAGCTATGATTTAGTGCTGCAGCATTCAGTAGATTAAACAAGAGGCCCGTCAAAGTTTGTTGTGCAGGTAAGTCCAACCTCCACCAACAATCAAAGCGTGTTATTCCTGCAAAAATACATCAGTAATTTTTTATTTGTGTGTAATCAAATGAAAGAACAGAATGACTAAGTATAGAAGAGGCTGAGCAAAACAGGAGAGGTTTAAATGTGCTGGTTGTCAGTGTAAATACTGCAGCTACTACTATGAAAGCAAGTTACTAATTAATAGAAAACACCACAGGGACCATCTGATGGACAGGACACGACAGGAATACACCACACGTTTCCCTGCTGTTCAATCTCAGAAAACCCTGATGGCAGGCCCTGCAAACCTTCATGGAACTGACTCAGACTGCAAACAATGGACATTTGGGGAAACTTTAAATAAAATAACACATGGCAATATTAAAGTAAGTGGAGCCTAAGTGTTCTGGCAGAACTATATTCTTGGCTTTTTCATAGCTGTGCAGCTGACATACTTGTACAATTGTTGTAGTGGTGTTTATGCTGCTCTCACAGCACATATCTTCAGTGTCATGCTGGGTGGGCCACGGGTTTGGGGATTTTACATTTTGTCAGATTTCAACGCCGTCCCGGGAAAGAGCCCATGGTGAGAGAGTCCTCCTCGTCGATAGCGTCCAGCTCGTCCGTGCGCACAGCGTGAGTGATGAGCTGAAGCTCCTCAGTGAGCGTCTCGCTTCGGTACGCCACGCGGATGTCCGGGACATTGGTGCGGCGGATGTCGTTGCTCTCAGGACCCTCCTTAGCGTAATTTGGACCCAACCAGTAGCTTTTGGCCTGGAATGAGAGGAAAATACATAGTTGACACTGATGTTCAGTGTATGTGTGTGATGGCGCTTCGCCATCTAGTGGTGGCTCTGTGTGTGTGTGTTTTGCTCTGTTGCAGGGTTTCCTCAGTCGAGCTCAGCTACTGTACCTCCACTTGCCTGTAGGCCATCGTGCCTGCACCCTACCTCACTCTGAATGTTTTAATTTATTCTTAATTCTTTACATTTTTCTTTAGATTTGTTTCAAGATTTATTAATTACTGTCAAGTTGGTCTGTGTGGGACCATCATTATTTTTTGGCATTTTTGCCTTTATTGGATAGTGGAGACAGACAGGAAAGTGGGGAGGAGAGAGGAGAGGACACGCAGAAGGTCAGACTCAAGTTCACTCCTGCCCTGTGGCATGTGATCACCTGCTTACCCACTGAGCCAAAGTGGCGCCCACAATGATTTTAATTTTTTGAAGTCTTGCACCACATTATATAAAAATGTTACATAATTTAACGCTGAGCAATAAATTAAAGAGATTTTTAAAGTGTTTCCACAACAAAAAACTTGTAAATGATACTACTTATGCTCAAACTACAATATTTTAATGACTTGCAATGGATTGTGTGGATATGTGCAGTGCATACATACACATGTGATCCCTGCTACACAAATACATGAAGAGAGCTTTAAATTAGTTTACCTTGTGTGAAAATCCACTCATGAGGACACTGTTTCTTGCCAGCTCACACATGTCACATGAACTTAGTTTCCACACTTGAGTGGCAATGCTGTACTCCTCCATCAGAGGTTCCTGGGTCCAAACAAGCAAACATGGAGATTTCTACAATTTGCTTCTATAACCTTTCACACTGTGTGCTTTAAGTGAGGCCATGTGTGGATTCATACCAACCTTGGTAAAGTGGAACTGGAGAGGATCATCGGTGGACAGGGAGACCATGAGGCCTCTGGACAGATACTCTGGCAGTGGGTTGCGGTGGTAACTGAGGAACAGGCTGTTGTTGCTCAGTGGTGACATGGCAATGCCGACTTGAGCAAGGTAATAAAGATACTGCAGCACTGGAGCCTGAGGTCAGACAAAGGTGAAAAGCAACAGAGACAAATCAGCAAATACAGCTAAAAGCTACAGTGGATTGGCAGATTTGTTTTGATTAGATTTAGAAACAAAAAAAACAAAAAGCACACCACCCACACAGTCACACTAAACTAAAAAACAGCCTCTCATTTTTCAATTTATAGCATATAGGGTTAGATCTGTAACTCCTTTGAAAAATTAACTCTTTTCATTTCAAAGCAAAATTATACAAAAAACCCCAAAACAACTATGTCAGTGTTCAAAATCCTATGGCCATAACTGTAAGTGTCTCAGGAAGGTCCTGGGCCATCAGGACATCTTCAATTCACTTTCACTGTACAAATCTCCAAATTTTCACCATCCACTATATATAGCACCCCTATGATGATGGTGATGATGAAGGTGGTGGTGTATCAGGTCAGATGATTTATCTTCTATTTCAGCTGCTATGATGGCAATTATAGCAAATGTGGGGGGAAAAAAGCCACTTTTTAACCACTAATGGTTAAAAAACATAATATAATATAGACCAATATAACAAAAACAACGCACCAAGCTAAGGACCCCTGGTGCCCTGTTAATGTTTTTTTAACCCGTCAGAAGTGTTGATGCAATGTCAGCATTACAAATCCAAAGTTCGTAAACTACTTTGTTGTTTTTTGATGATAAAGTGAAAAAAAATCCACAGCAGTCTTTCAGAAACAATCCCCAGTGTGGTGTCCTGACCTTTCTGAGCAGCAGACCATGAGAGATGTTCTCTGACAGCATGAAACCCGACACCAGGTGGTGGATCGGCCCCGCTTCCCCACAGTGAGGTCGCAGCACAAACGTATGGAAACCTCGCCGTCTGAATCAAATTAAAAAAGCAAAGCTTTATGTATTTGTCACTTATGATTTTGTTTGATTTGATGTTAAATTATGTAAAAAAAAAAAAAAAAAAAAAAGAATCAATATATCCATATACCTTCGCAGGTGGTTGAGCACACTCATGTTGGCATAGGTGTAGTAGAGGTAGTAAGAGTAGGGTGGGTTGTCTTCTTCTGTCCAGTTTGCTGGAAGCGGACTGTCGAGATTAAAAATGTGGTGCTCAGGTTTGGACTCATCGTCCACGCTGTCAAAGCCCACCACCTATTAAGCCACGAAAACGGACAACAACATAATCATTTAGTGTCTTTAAGTACGGATCCTGATGCGGAGAATTCCTCGTGAAGGGACACTCACATGCTCCAAGAGAAGATGCAGCTCAGGATGACTACGGGGGTTGATTGTGACTTCAAACAGAGGCAGGAAGATGTTCTCCAGCATCTCCTGGAAATTAGCCAGCTGCTTCTTTGTGTGGTACACGTCACTAGAAAGGTGGGGATTGGACAGTAAGTTGTGTCAGGCTGTAATCTTTAACTCAGCTTTGTTTTCTTTCTGCTTTTTTGCTTTTTAAAGATTTAACAGTCCAAGCACAGTACAGATCCTTACTTAAATCCTAATCCTAATATCCTGATCTAAATGCTAATGAAACTTCCTCGTGTCCTTGGTGTATTTTTTGTAATCTGCTGCGTACTCTCAATCATTTAATGATGAACTGTTGGAGGAACACTTACAACAAACGGGGCACCTGGACAAGCCAGCGCACATTATCAGAATACACGCTGTGCTTGACAGCCCACTGAGCCAACTTGTCCCATTCATCTCTAGAGCGGCCGTAGATGGACAGACGGAGCTCAGAGTTCTGGTACTTGCTCTCTTCCAGGTCAAACATCACCTCCTGGACAGATAAAGCCAAAAGAAGTGGGTGCGAATATTTTCAAGGATTATTTAAATAAGACACATACAGTACCGTACAGGTATCACTTCACACCTTAATTATATGTGCAAAATATTTCCCTTCGATGTAGTTGTCTGTCTTGATGAAGATCTCTCTGAGGATGGATTCTCCGATGGGGTTGTATTTGGCGTTGAACTTGTCAAACCGATGAAATGTGTTACGGTCCTGATGAGTAAAAAACAAAAAGATTTAATATTATATCAAATATAATTTTTCTACCACATGTATCACACAGTGTGTCTTAACACACACACACACATATACACATATATATTAGGGGTGCAACGATATTCGTATCGATATTGAACCGTTCGATACAGTGCTTTCGGTTCGGTACGCATATGTATCGAACAATACAACATTTGTAATTTATTTTATCAATTTTCCTTCTGACGATGCTGTCTGTGTTGAGCGCTCAGTGAATCTGTGTTCGACTACTCCGCCTAGGCTGCACTGTCGAGCGCAGATCCACTGAGCGCTCAACACAGACAGCATAGTCAGAAGGAAGAGCGCAGGGCAAGCTAGCGAGACAGAAGTTAAGCTCTGCTTGCAACAAGCAAATTGAACCTCATTCAGATCTGGCGTTTGGAATTATTTTGGTTTTCATGTGACGTATGACCCTGAAGGTAAGCGAGTCATGGACTAAAGTAAAACAGTATGTTGGATGTGCCATGCAATGCTCAATTACATTGGTGTGAACTAGTGTGTTAGCGCAGTTAGCTCGTTAACGTGTTGGCCGTCTAGCCCCATGCACGGAGCGATCGGCGGTAGCTCGTTAACGGAGATTTGCCGTGTTGTGGCGTTAAGGTCATTTCAACGAGATTAACCTGAAAGCACTAGTGGGAACACAACAAATATGACTGCACATTTACGCCGACATCATCCTAGTGCAATGACAAAAACAACAAGCATGCTACTAACTTTAGCCGAGTCATTTAGACAGCTGTTAGCACATGATTCTCCTTATGCTGCTGAGAATATAGCCCAGAAGAAGCGGATAGTATAGCTTTTATTTTGGAAAGAGACATTTCTCTGTAATAAACTCTCTTTTCCAAAGATGAGTGATTCCTCAATCAGATACAGGGCTTGCAATATCGCTAGCCCGACGTCCCGGAGCTAGCGATTTTTTCAGTCGGGCTACCAAAATCTATCTCTTCCCTGCCCGTCGGGCTATTGTACGAAAAATATATGTCAATGCTTTTGCATTCTTTCAGAAATGTAGCTGGGTAATTATGTCATTGGCATCGGTGAGCCACTGTCAATATGTGACATATTGAAATCGCGTTTGAATTTGCGCTTGTTTTTTTGCTTTCGTGCGAACTGTGTATAGAGAGCGACAGCACTGATCTGTGAGTGATGATAATTTGTGCACCAATTCCTCTGACATCGTCTTATTAATCGTTAGCTTACTATGCAAACATGACAAGTGAAATCTCCCGCAGCTTAAACATGTGAGAGGTTGATCGCGCAGAGAATCGCTGAGCTTATGTGAGTGAGTGTGTAAAAGCATTTCAGTTCTGCTGAGCCAAATAAGACAGGTCAGGGTGAAGAAGTGACAGCCAAAGAAAAGCTTACCACAAAACGGAGAAGTTATGACAAATCAGACTATAAGGCAAAAAGAAAGTGCAGCTTTATGGTTTCATGGACAAAAGAATTTCTGTGGCTGCAATATGAGAGCTAAATAACCAGGGCTGCACATAAGTGGTCCGCAGGTGCGCATTCGCTGTCAAAATAAAAAACACGCACAAGGGTTAGGGTTAAATTTAAAAACTGTACTTTTGAGTTAAAATATATATTTATAATTTTAATAAATGACAAATTAAAAAGCATGAACATTTTTTTGTATCGAAAAAATATCGAACCGTGACACCAAAGTATCGAACCGAACCGAACCGTGAATTTTGTGTATCGTTGCACCCCTAATATATATATATATATAAAAATATAGATGTTACTCTCTCTCACCGCGTGCATGTCAAGCGTGTCTACACTCAAATCGAAAGCAGTCAGGTTCATGCTCTCAAAAACCTCCTTGAGGGTCTGACCACGCCCACGCTCAATGTGAACGATCTCCTCGGGATATTTCTTCATGGCTCTCTTAATGAATCTCAGCAGGTGCTTCTGGTTCATGCAGGATGAGGCATGTATGTGTGTGTCCACCTGGAGTCAGGTCAGAGCAGGTTTAATGTTCGAGCTTCACCAAAAACAGTTATTTATGCAGCAGGATTAGCTCTCGATGAAATTGTTTAAGCATTCTTTCAATGTAGGTATCTATATTTAGCTGTCACTTGTTGACTCTTGCCTTTCTGATGTTGTAGAAGTCTCTATGAGGAACTTTCTTCTGAGCTGCCAGCTCTTTCATCTCGTTCAGAAGGATGTGCATTTGAAATTTAGAGCTTAGGTACTGCAGGCGACGGTAGCAGAAAGACTTCCTACAGAGGAGACAGGGACGTGTTATATTTAGACTGTGCACTGAGCCATAAAACAACTCAGACTTCAACTCATATTGTTAAAAGAAAAACTCACACTGGCCCATTGATAATAAGAGCCATCATCACATTCATGTCTGCAATATACTCTTTAAGGTCAGGATACGGCAGGTCAAGTTCTCCACTTCTGAAAAGCAGAGTGATTATAATGTTATACTTAATACAGACAGAGTTGCTTAAAAATAACACGTCATTATGAAGGTGCAAACAGATCATACTTGTCCATATTGGTTTTCTTAGTGTAGACATGGACTACCCCGTCTACCATCTTGCAACCATATCCTGTGTCTGGTGGCATGTTATTGGGGTCCTGATTGTCGTAAGGGTGTGTTTCAGAAACTGGTGGATGGACCGGGGCATCTGGAAAAAACAAAAAACAAAACGGGAAATGGATATCAATCATTTTTTTTCATGCTACAGCAAACACATAGGTATAAAATATATATGCTACAGAAACTATACTTTTTAATGCCAATAATAATGCTCAGATGTCAGAAGCATTTTTGTTACACAATTCACCTGGTGTGTTTCTGTTTTCACTCGGTCTAGTTTTTACCAAAAAAAAGTTCAGTTGCAATTATTTAAAAATCTCGTAAATCTGCATTTTATTGAACAACATAACAGAGACAACATATTAAATGTTTAAACTATGACAATGTATCATTTTAACAAATAATGTGTTCAGTTTGGATTTCAAGGATGCAATACATCTCAAAAAAGTTGGAATGGGCCATGTTTCATGTGTAGCATCGCTGTGTAGCATTAACAGACTTTTGGGTCCCGTTTTTCTCTGACAAAAGATTCAAGCTGCTCAACACTCCTGTGTCTGCTTTGTTGTATTTTAATTAAACGCTGTTACAACTGGTGAAAGGTCTGCACTGCAGACAGACGAGATCAGCACCCAGATTCTTCTAATATGAAGCCATGCTGTTGGATTAGATGCACTATATGGTTTAGTATTGGCATGCTGAAATATGCGAGGCCTTTCCTGAAAAAGACATCAATTGGATGGGATTGTATGTTGCTCTAAAACCTGTGTGTGTGTGTGTGTGTGTGTCATCTTCACATGTGGTTTGTTCTTTGCACAACAGAGCTTTAACCTGCATTTGTGGATTGCACAGTGAACTCTGTTTACAGACAATGATTTCTGGATGTGTTTTTGAGCCCATTCAGTAATTTTCCACGACAGCATGATGCCTTTTTTTGCCTGAAGATTATTCCATTATTCTACGATTGTTGTTTTTTGTTTTAACTTCTATTAATCTGCAAAAAAAACCACTAAACCACAAGTCTGCTTATCTGCCTCTCTCGGACTCTCTTTTTTGAGTTGTCTGCCATCAAATTCAAAATGAGCTAATGTTTTTCATGAAATAGCAAATGTCTGTTTTCTGTGTTCTATTGTGAATAAAATATGGGTTTATGGGATGTGAAAATCATTGCTTTTATTCTCATTTTCAGCATCCCACCATTCTGGGAACTGAGGGCTGTGGCAATGTCCATCAAACCAGAGAAAAAATACAGAAAAAAATCTTCAGGAAATTCAATCACTTCTCTAATCTATAATTAGTATATAATTACTGTTTGACGTCTGTCAGTCTTTTTGAAGGCTGAATGAGCCAATTAGCTTTTGTACCTGTGAAACCTCTGATTTTCCACAAAATCTGAAATGTCATTGTAGTACAGGAAATATAACCATATCTTGGTAGTTTGTAAAGCTACTATTATGAAAGAACTATTATTTACAGTGTAAAGTGGAAATAACTTTGATTTGTAAAGGGTGACAAGGGAACTTGTGATTATTTATTTTGCTGACATTATTGTTCTGCCAATTATTTTCTTCATTATTTGACTGTTTGCCAGAAAATCTCAAGGAACAAGTCAAAAGTAGCTGCTTTTTGTCTATTTATGAAGTCAAGTCCAGCTGGTTCAAGTATGTTTTCTGGCTCCGTCTTTCTAATGAAACCTTTGCTTTTTTCTGCCTAGCTATGTTGAATGTTTGCATGTTTTACCAGCATCTACAGGGGTCTCTGGTACATCTTCATAAATTCCCAGATCCAGAGTCTTCATCCCAAGGTCCTGCAAGGCATGAGCTGTAGTCTTACAAAAGTTCTGCAGGGAACGGTTTATGTACTTCTCCCGGATAAATAGTGCCTTCACAACACACTTGGCAGCATCTACTAGGTCAGTGAAGGGCACCTGGAAATATAAATAGAAATGTCGTGAGCAAGGATGCAAATGAAACAGATTTGAGTATTTTGTTTTCACTCCTGATACATTTAACTGCCACCACCTTGTGCAATTTGTCACTGACTCTCTATGCTCTCATACTGACTGCTAGGGTCTCTAATATTGTCTTTCCCTTGCGGTATAAACTTTGAGGCAACTGTTGTTGTGATCTGACACCAAAAAAGTAAAAGTGAGCTGAACTGGACTGAATTACTTTGCTAACTATTGTTTATTATTTTTAAATCCTGTAAGTAGCGTTCAGCAAACGATTCTCACCCCACACTTTTCCTCTCCAGATATTGAGACCCGCTGGTACTCCATCGGCATTTCTCGCTCCTTAACGGCATCATCAACAGTGTCCACACTTTCGTCTTTCATTAACCTTAAATGATAGAGGAGGGGGCAGAGGAGGGGAAGCGCAACGGCACACAGAGTGGTGAGATGGAAGAAAAGAAAAAAAAAAAAAACACATGACAGGGCAGTCCAGTCAGTCTGAAAAACATTTAGATGACTTGATTTAAAACCTTTTTTTCATGTTGGAGACATTTAAAACATTTATTTATGGTAGATTATCCATTAACTGAAAAAAACAAGACTGGTTTGCAAACATTTTACAGTGGTGAGATGAGGATTTTGTTCTCTTCAGTCCTAGAGATTGAAATCATAGGTATAGAAACGAAGACAAACTGACTGAGCATGGGTAACAATAAGATGTCAGGGTAAAACCCTTAATAGTTAACCCATGAAGCTGTTCAATGACCACAACTCTGTGAGTAAGTCAGGATTTACAGGAAGTACAAGTTTCATTATTGAAGAAACCCAAAATTTTAAAAAGAGGGGATACAAGATGCCCGAGTGCCATAGATGCACTATAGGGAGTTCAGTGACTTTGTTCCAGTAAGAAAAGCAGCTTGCAGTGTTTCAAGGTTTTCTGCACAGTACAGGTCCACAATAAAAGCAGCAGAGAGCGCCAAAGATTCAGATTTCTTGTCTTTAATAAGCAGCAAGCACACAGAGAGCTCTCCTACATCACAAATCAACCTTCAAATACTCTGCCTTTCACGCCACTTCTGTCTCCTATCACATTTGTTCCATAAGATATTGAATCATTGCTACACACTAATTTACCATGTTTGGTAAACCTAGCTCTTTTAATAAAAAGTTAAATAAAAGGTCACTGTAACCATTTCTAAGACATATTAAGTCACCAGCAGGGGCGAGACGTAGTCCATCTCGACGTGGCAAAAGTCACTGCCACTGGTTTTGGAAAAAAGTACTTTCACTGGGTTAGCAAGAACTATAGGCTAGGTATTAATAAATATTATATTAAGGATGAAAATTAAATGTCCACAGGTACAGTACTATGCAAAAGCCTTGAGCAATCCCCTCATGTCTTTATATTTTCTTAGGAAAACTGGAAATAGATGTAGAGATTTATCAAAGCATCCATAAATATGAAAACATTTTAAAGGGGAAAACAGAGTTTGTAAAATCATAATGAGCTTGAAAGTCAATATTTAGTTCGAACACCTTTATTCTTTAACACAGCCTGAACTCTCTTAAGTAAGATTTCCTAAAGTAGTCTTCGGAAATCCAGACTTCTCGAAGGACTTTCGAGGCCAATCTATGACTGAGTGTTCCACCAGTTTTACTGGATTGCATTGTTATGCTGAAAAATGAAGCCGTTGCCAATCAGATGCTGGGTCAAAATCTGATTGAGCTTCTGATTAATAATTCCATTAAATTTTGATAAGATCCAACTCCACTGACTGAAATTCAGACCCAAACTATGACAGAGCCTCCACCATGTTTTACAGATGGCTGTAGAAATTGTTGTTTCTTTCTCCTCATGTTGAAACTTCAGATTAGGAATTCATGACTATATAATATATCCTGCCATGGAGTGTGTATAAATTGGCATATACCACTATTTTCTCCCTGTTTCCTTTCTGTAATAATGTTTTAACACCCACCTCACCTGCTGTCATAGCTTTTAGGCTTTTTTGCCCTCCACTTGTCGATTTTCGTCACAACCTTTATGTACGCCCTGCACACCATCCTGAGATATGCTAAGTTTTAAGTTAATAACTCTTAATAGTTATTAGAAACTATGTTAGCTTGAATTTCAACTGAAGAAATATGGAAGGAATTTTGTGTTTTTATGACAGGCCTCTGGCAACAAAGTGCCTAAAGAATTTAATATACAATAAACAACTTAAAATGAGGTCTTTGCTAAGTTGTCCGTTATATGTAAACTTAACACTGGAAGCTTTTTATGCTTGAACAATAAGCAAGCACAAGAACTGATCTGCTGGTCAGGGTTTAATGGCTTAACAAAAGCCGGAGGAAACATGTCCAGGTACAAGGACTGAACTGAAAACGATTTTACAAAGTCACCAATGGAAGACTTTCAGAAAGCATAGAGACCAATTAAAAAAACAACAACAAAAAAACAAAAAAAACCCACAAAAGCCCCCTCACACACACACACACACACACACACACACACACACACACACACACACACACCTTGAAAGACAAATATTAAAAAAAATAAGGTTTGGCTCAAGACTTCTGCACATTACTACTTTAACCATCTCCGTTTCTCGGAGTATGGGCAAACAAAACAGATAACAGAGATAAATAAAATAACAACCACAGTTAATAATGACTAAACAAAGGATTTAAAAAACCCACTGAGGCAGAGCTCACTCACTCTAGGTCTGCAGCACTGTCGATTTTCATGAAGTCCTGTTTGGCACGGAGCAAGATCTCTGGCTCAAGCCTTGGGGTGATATGCAGCGGTGCAGAGTAGCGTGGGCAAGGCGGGGGGCAGATGGGCACAAGAGGTAGTGAGAAGAAATTAAGCACACAAAGGAAGAGAGACCAGATATAGACACCCTTTCAAAAAGCACTGTGTCTTACACACATATACATACTGTACACAAAGAATTTTAGGTATTAAGTGATCAAGGTCATCTACACAAGCAATTATTATTGGTTAGTAATAGTGAACTCTGATTGGTAAACAGAAACTTGCAGAGGGCAAGTCAGATAATCACCCAATGATCAGCTTAGTGGTGCAGATAGTCAACCCTGGCAATCAAGACAGACCCCACCTCCTTATAAAAGTATGACTAGGCCACGAGAAAAGATGCCAGCTGCTGGCTATCCCAGTTATCCAAAAATTGTGGTTAGTCAGCCTGGGCAGGTTGGGAGCTGATAAGCATGTGTCCTTGAGTGGAAACAAGACTGTGTGTAAAATGCAGGAGGAAAAGGGAAAGCTATAGTTGTTTGTCTCTGATAATATATCGAGTTCGTTTAACGGGCTCTGTATGTGTAGTGTGTTTGCATTTCCTCACTTAATATCCTGGCTGATCTGCCTCTCCAGGCGATGACGTCTTTCCTCCAGCTGTTCGATGGGACTGTCCTCCGGGAACTCATACGGAGCACTGCGCATCTCGCTCTCTGTCATGCTGCGTGTGAACAGCTCCTGGTTGAGGCACAGATTATACCATTTATGGTGTCGTAAAACAGGAAGTCATGTCAATATTTATGCATTTATGGAGATATGGAAGCCACTGAGGCTCTGATAAAACATCATCATATTTAGCTACAAATGAAAACCAAAGGTGAAGGTTGGACTGGGGTGTGTCAAAACAATTTGCATAGTTTGTGTGAGATTTTAAAAGACCACCCCCCTATTTTGTCTGGAACCAATAGCTGTCCAATTTTAAGTTCTTACCTCAGCAATCTCTTTGTACTTTTCCTCCATTGATGTGCGCAGGTCTATTGGGCAGTGTGCGAGAGAAACAGGCGTCCCTGGAAGGGATCGCTGGGTTTTGAGGGGTTTGGGCCCAGATGCACCGCAAAGATCTACAGAAATGCACAGAAAAGTGTTACAGCGTGCGACAGGTATGTGATCTGAAATACTTAAACTTTGTGGGTCATTCCAGGATTTGATAAAGGCAGAGCCAGTAAATAATAAGGCAGTTATCAAATCAGACAACATGGCGCCAACTGAGTATATTTAGGTATGTAGACATGGTTAAGACAACCCCTGGAGTTTAAACTGAACATCAGAGTGGGGAAAAATGTGATTTTAAACATGACCTAGTTGTTGATGCTAGATGAGCACATTTGAGTATTTCAGAAACGGCTGATGTGCTGGGATTTTTGAACAGCTACCTCTAAGGTTTATAGAGAATGGTCTGAAAAAGAGAAGCTATCCAGTAAGCGGTAGTTTGTAAATCATGGCATTCTGTTTTTATTTACATTTTACACAGGGTCCCAAGTTTTTAGATTTTAGATTTGTATTTAAAATTAGTCACAGAGTTTAGATAACCACATAAATTATCATGTGCACGGGACGTGTGGTGTGTGTTTACTGCCAAAAACTCATGGAGGTTCACATACATATTTGGGTACTTTACAGGCCAAAGCTAATTCTGTAGCAATGACATAAGTCACTCTACAAAGTTCTTATTCATTTCACGGTCTGCTAAAAACAGAGACAGACATCCAAATATGCAAGAGTGATGATTAATATCAAATGAAGAAAAAAAGGAAAGACTCTACGTTGGATTAGGAAAGACTGAGAGGTTATCTAAGAGAGGAAAAGTACGACTCTCACAAGCATAAATTTGGCTCAGACATAACAGCTTAGTCTAATGTGGCACTTAGAACTACCATGAGCAAAAAGATTTAAAAAAGAAGAAGAAGAAGAAGAAGAAGAAGAAGAACAGCTCCAAACATGTCTGTCAGCTAAAATCTTGAGTGTGTTATTATAAAAGTAACTGTAGCAGGTGACAGATTTCAAGTCAACCCAAACACTGGCAGTTATCACAACACTGGGCAGTTTTTACTCAAGACGTTACTTTGCTTCCTTCCTTCAGCTGCAAGAACACTGCAAGCAAAAACAAAAAAAACAAGACACAACACTTACCCAGAGGTTAAAATAATTAAACAGGGTGTAACTTTGAGTAGCTATAAAAATCGGGTCGCAGCAGTTGTGTCTGCAATCAGTGATGGGGCATGAAAATACTTGCACAATGCTGTCGAACAAAGGCCAGCTTAGAAAAAAAGACTAATTTTACACACTGTACTTTCATGTGAAAAACATCGACAAACACAATGAGAGTGACACGAGTTGGAAATGGATGACAACATTATTTCACACTAAAACAAAACAACAACAAAAAGGGGTGGGAGAGGTGCAAAATGAGAAAATTCGTGCCTTTTTAGACTCTAATACACTGAAGAAAATCAAATCTACTGATTCTGCGTATTTCCTGGGGGCAGCCAGGAATTTCAGTTAAAGTAAACTACAATTTAAACTTCCGTAGTTAAAAAGGCACAAAACCTCATTCAACCACTCGTGAGGCCTCTGGGAGTGGTGTGTTCATGCTCCTCTATAATTCCTGCCATCATCAGTGACGTGTCTGCCCTGTCACAATTAGTCTCCGCCATCTGCTGTCTGCCTCTAAGGCGGTGGAGTCAGGAAGGAGAAGAGGGTAACTTAGCACAGTACATTAGTATTGTGAAACATTTCATTATTGCACTTTGAAGTGACTCATGGAAAAACCCAAATGTAACTGAATTACGGTGGTGACACAGATTACACTGGACGGAAAGTTTCAAGCCAAACGAGGCTTATTTTTCATTTTAAAATGGACAAACAGGTGACTTAAGTATACAGATGCTCACATAAACAGTCATTCCCAGTATAGTATCCATGTAATCCTCTGGCCTTTCCATAACAGATGACTCCTAATCCAGTACATCACAACTCTATTTATCTCAGTGACATCACTCTGATGGGCAGTACAAACTTTCTACAGACTTCTAATGCAAGTAAACACACCAAAAATGATTGGAAAAAAGAAAAAGAAAAATTGAAGCACAAGCAAGCAGAAAAAGTACATTTCCACTAACTTAGCTAACAACAGTGATATTACTAATAATACTAATTTAAAATCACTAAAACAAATAACATTCAAAATCACAACATGTGCTACACAGTAAAACAACAGCCTAGCCCTAACAGCCTGGTAAGGAAACTGTATTTACAAAGGCCCACCAAGTCATTTAATGGCTTATTTAAAAAGAATGTGAAATTACAATAAGAAATAGCAAGAGCGTCAATTAATAAAATGAAGACGACATTGTTTCTATAATCTTTACACATTTTTAATATTTAAGACTTATGTTAAAGAGGGACCTAAAATCTAATCATGCTCATTTTTCTTGGCAGTATTTTTGTAAGCATCCTTTTTATTTGCTTTGGTACACAAGCACTGACTTCCAGACCAAACATGTCGTTTGCTGTGTGAGCGTTCCTGCCTATTTCAGAGTGAAATAGCTTAACCCTTTCATCTTCATCTTGAGCTTTCTCATAACCCTGGGTAATATTGACAAAGCACTCCATCCTAAGCCTCTGTGATGTCCCTGGGACCTGAGACTGCACACCGCCCACATGCTCGTTTAGTATCTGAGGAGCTGGCTCCTACTCTAAAAGGATCAATGCAGTCCTTCGAGTCTACCTCATCCTCCCAAGTTCTAGCTCTAGATCACACCAAAGAAGCAAAACACAGCACTGTACAGTTTATTCATGAACATATGTCAAAGCAAGAGCAAAATGTAGCAGTTTAACAAAAGTGTGTTTTCACAGCAAAGCAAGTTTGTAAGAATCTAACTTTTCATAAGCCTCGTATTATAGTCCGTCTTAAACAGCCCCACTGGATAACCAAAATTCCTAGTGTCAGATATAATAATAATAATAATAATAATAATAATAATAATGGATTGGATTTATATAGCGCTTTTCAAGGCACCCAAAGCGCTTTACAATGCCACTATTCATTCACTCTCGCATTCACACACTGGTGGAGGCAAGCTATGGTTGTAGCCACAGCTGCCCTGGGGCAGACTGACAGAAGCGAGGCTGCCATATCGCGCCATCGGCCCCTCTGGCCATCTAACATTACAATTCAGGTTTAGATACATTTCTGTATCTGCAAAATATAATGCAGATTGGCTAAGCTGCTAATGCAGGTCCCAGTTGTAAGTTTTTAATTTACAGCTAGCAGTTTGTTCACTTTTCTTTATATGACAAACTTACTGGTGATACAGACACATCAGGTCTGGCTCTGCCACTTCTCTAAGGCTAGACTGAAAAATTTGTTGAGTGGTTAAAGGAGATTTTTCACTTACATCAAAGCTAATTCACTGTCCTAAGAATTCCTGTTTTGTTTATCATCTGCACAAGCACAAAGAGGCAATACAAAGTCCTACCAACGACATCATTGACGTCCTCTGATTTACAGGTTGCATTAATGTACCAAGATATGCAGCAGTGTGCCAACAGAGAGAGGGAAGAAGACTTCATGATAGCATTGGCTTGGCTGTTTTATAAGGAGGGAAGTGCACTCAAGATCTTCATTAAAGCCTGAGCATATACACATTGCATTTTGGTGAATGACACTAAATGAAAAAGTTTAGCTTAGCTTTGTTTGTTTATAATGAAATTAATTGGCTCTCACTAAGTCCCTGAAAATCCCAGACCACCACAGCTGTTAAAGGCAGCACATTAAAGGCAGGAAAGTCCCAGTTAGCTCACTGGCCTCTGAATCAGGACTGCTTTGTATCAAATTCACTATGTTACAGCTCTTTTCACAGTAGGTAAGAATATTCTTGCTGAAATGCTGCTTAACATGTTTTCAGGTTGAGTAACTACAAGCTGCAAATAGTTGGCCTAGCTTAAATGATGGTGCTTAACTTGAGAACTGGTGATGGCAGACATCAATCTGAATCTTTGTGTTTTGGAATTTTATAACTTTATCAGTTTATTTGATAAGAGACTCGGCAGAACTAAAAATGTACTTGATTTGCTAAAATACCACATCTATCTCCAAATCTCATTTTAGGTGTCACTATAATGATAAACAAAGCTTTGCTACTATTTCATATACTTTATTTCATTTATTCCATTCTTCTCTGTAACTTATGGGCATTTCTGTCAGGTTCACTGATTATCAAGCTACCAATTGCATGAGACTGCACTAAAAACAAACCCTTTATGTTGCATCTCTGCTTTTTGTTAGTGCAGCATAAAAGAGGCAGTTATCACCTTTAGTCAAAGGAGGCTGAAATAAACCCTCAAATGAACTTCATTTCTGGTACCCAAAAGACAACTGATCATTTCAATCACATCTCATTTATTTCATTTAGAGTTTGAATCTTTTCTAAAAGACAAAAACTGTAAAATCTCGAGCATTAGAAATTGCCACACTGTCTCAAAGCCTCTTAGGAATGAAACTAAGGTGACTACAATTGAGCTAAAGTGGAATTTTAAGTATTATACTTAGCAAAATATGTTTGTTTCTCCTCTCTATGCTGTTTTTTGACCTACCTATATTTGAAACAGACACACCCTGACATAATGACATGAATTTAAAAGTGTGTCTACCACTAACTGCAGCAACCTTGCCAAAACGCTTTTCTTGGTATTTTCTTGCTCTTTTGTTTAACTGGTGCACATGTCTCTGTTGATGGAGTTTGGCTGCATACATATACACCTTATATGGTCAAATATCAGAGAATAACTATTTTTCTGCAGCAAGAGTCAGTTGAGAGGCCAAATGACCCTCTGCTGAACAATGCAGTGAAGGCATATGGACCTGCATCTCTGCAGGGATCCATGCTGGCTATGCAAAAATTAACAAAAATGTGCTGACTGAACAAAAATAATAATATAATGACAATTTTCTCAGAAGTATAACAATATATGCTCAAATTCTCTACTGGGCATATTTGTCACCCCATTAAGACAGTTATATAGACAAGACATTAGAAACACTTTTAAATGAAATTTAAAG